ATTGTGGAAGAAAGCGACACGGGACGCGCCCGCCCTCCGCCGCGATCTGCGCTCAACTGCGGAATATGAATGAAGTCGATGAGGGTTTCTCATTTTCAGCGTCCTGAAAAAATTGCTAAATCCTCATGTTTATTGGGGTCCCGTGAAGGCCAAAAGGTTCAATGAGGATACTTGAACCTTTCGCAACAGCGTATCATCAACTCGATTGCCAAAATAGAGTCCAATATCACGGATATTATGCCGCAATGACGAAATAGTGCGCGATAGTAGCCAATTCACACTTAATCCCGTGGAGCCTTCAGCGTTTGTCTTAATAATGGGAAAATATAGTGGTGTGTGGCAAGTTTGTTTATAAGGGAAGCTTGCGATCGATGGTAGGTACTGGCTTTGAAACTGATTTAAAACGTAAATACTTTAGACAAACGATCTTTTCCCAGTTACGTAGCTTTAATTGCAAAAGTTGTATCAGTTAAATGGGAACAGTTACGAATATCGTCAACTTTAGAAGGTCACAAAAGGAATGAATCGCAAAGTTAGCAACGTTTGTTTATTTCCGTTTGAAGGAGCGGTAACGAAATACAATATATTTTATCCCCTTTCATTCGAGCTTACTACTTTTTGTCTCAAAAGCTATTAAAATGTTGATGAGTTTTTTCGAGTACTTTTATCATAGGGTTTCGTTATTTATTCATGAAATAATAATAAAAAATAAAAATAAAAAGTGTTTATTGCAACAAAAACATTAGACACACAGTTTATGAATACTAACATCTAAACTAGGCCGAGCCTGTACCTTAGATGTTAGTAATAATCAAAGGGTCTTTCTTGTTGTTGGATAAAATTTGTTTTAATGAAAATATTCTCACTTCGTATTTCGTCTACTTTTTCATCACTACTGAATAGAGAACTTTGGAAAATGGTTTAAAATTAGTTTATGAGATCTTGAAGTACAATATCTGGTATTAGGATAAAAGTTACCTCGTATTATTTTGCTTGTATTTTACTGCTTTTAAAATATGAATGGCACATGTTAAGTGACACAAGAGATGTGCTTCTGACCTAAGGACTTAGTGCCAGTTTGTTTTACGTTTAAATTAATCGAAACAAGACCGCGTTCGCAGCTGTGATTGGTTGGTTCATTGGAGTCGGCCAATCAGAGCGCCAAACGCGGTCTCGTTTTGATTACTTTATATACTGTATAGTGGACAACTTTGTTTTATGACTAACCACGGAAAACATCTAAAGGTTAATATCTGTGCAATATAACTGAACTTTACAATAGAGAAATAGACAGAACAGAATGGAATGTAGAATTTGTAGAAAACAATGTAGTTTATGATATAAAAACATAAGAGGATTTTGTTGGCGCCAATAATAAATTATTGCACAGTTTCATTAATTATTCAAATAAGTACAAATACCGAATTAAACAATCAGCCATATTGCATTCGATTACTTTGTACGGATTAACTGAATAATTAATATGGATTCAACATACATGATAATTATTTTATTTTACTATCGAATTGGCAAACCAATCTTATTAGGTACCTACTAGATAGATCGTTAATTCTTTTAATGGTTTATTTAAATAGTTAATTGACATAATAAAAGTTGCGCTTATAACGTCTTCCTATCTTAATGAGAATAACATAGTAAAGTAAAGATTATATATGCCTTCTTTTAAATTGCATAAAAAGGAAAAAAACAGTTTTATTATCACACAATATCCAACTAATGCACTAATCACTTCTGAATAATACTTTATTTATTAACAAACAGTGCTAATAAATAATTATGCCGTAAAGAACCAGGCCCGTATAGGGTAATATTTTAACTCTCCACAAAATATCAAGAAAATCCCTAAAAATCACCCGAATAAAATACGCAAGAGAAAGTGTAGAATAAAAGGTGATGTTTATTAAGTTTTGATCGAAAATCTGATTTAGTAAGTTAGGTACGTGTGCCTAGAATAATTTATTTTAGGGAAAATGTTCGGCGTTACCCCACCTAATACATGATTCGACACTTTTCACATAATATACATACATACATGATCATATATCAAACACCCTTTATATAAAATCCATTGATTTTTTACTTTACAAGTTATTGTAATGGACTTATTCTTAGGTAATAATAATTAACAATACAAACAATATTAACCGCTATTGTAAGCTGTTTGAGTTCTTTTTTCGTTTGTAAGACATTTGGCTATTTTTATCTGTTGTGGTTATAATTGTCATAACAAAGTGAACATAAAAGAAATATTTTAACAACAGGAAAAGTAATCAAATACAGTTCTTGGAATATCACCCACAGATTCACACTAACCGTAATTATTTGTATGAAGAACGATTATTACGACGATGTTGTTTATTAATATAATTGATGATTGACTATTGAGTGCGACAAATCGTGATCATCCGACTCATAAATATGATGAAACACTTCAGTGACATAAACTTTCAAGTTTATGTTATACACAGTTTTTAATTTGTGAAGAGAAGAAATAGAAGTCAAAACGTTCTCAGTTTTAAAATCTGCAAAACGTTGCCTTTAGGGTAATGCTTCGGATTTACATACTGAATAAATACCTACAAAAACAAAAATAAAAGACGTTATTAAGCCAATACTTGGAAAACCGAAATATTTCAGATATCAATAAATCCGATAGAACGATGAACGATCCGATGACGCCAGATGCAGCGTCTGTATCAAGATGTTAAGATCTTGAGCGCGATGCAAAATATTGACAATACTGCACTTGTCGGTCGCAAACACTCTCAAAACTCTTAAGCTCCAGTATTTCCTTGTAAACAGTGAAAGTATTGTAACTTTATGAGAAAGTTAAAGCATTTTATCTCAGATCGTAAAGGTGGAATACGAATTAAATGTGTGCCTAACAAGAGGCACAGATAAGTACCAGAAAAGTTCTTTGGCAACTTCAAGACCAAGATCAAAGATTGCCATCATTCGTAATCCTATACTTGGACATCAAATATTTCGCCATCACGTTCATAAAGCTCATTCAGTAAAAAATATATATTAGTAGTGCAAAATAAAAATGTAAAACGGTCCGTATCAGCGTAATATCAGTTTTCCCGTGATTGTAGACTATTAACAGTATTAACGCTTCGCCGCGAAAGCGCTAATAAACGAATATGTTTGCTAATTGTTACAGTACTCGTTACATGTATCACTTACCTGTAGCTGAGCCGCTGTTCACCACGGTCTTGTTCGAGGCTGTACTTGACGTCATTGGTTTCGGGTTCGGATTCGGTAATGAGTTCGTCGACTGAGGGGAATTCTTCACGCATGGTGACGACGGTAATGACAACGGAGATGATAGTCTTAACGGAGACGTTGGGGTGCCCAAATTGGACGGAAGCGACATCTTCGAATCCGAGGAAATGATAGAATTCACTTTGATAGATATATCGGAATTATCGTCGGTTGATTCAGGAGTACAGAGGACTGTGGGCAATGACACTCTATGTGTGTTGCTAATGGTAGGTTTCTGCTCCATTTCTGGTGAGTCCGCCATATTGTTCTGCAACAAAGATATTAATAAAGTAAGGAAAAATTTAATATTAAAGCGTCAAGAATATGAATTCAAGGAATCAGATGCAAAAATGCGTATTGTGGAATGTATTGAAAAGATAAAAACATACGCGATCATTTTGCAGTTGTTCACACTGTTTGGATAGAAAGCTTATGTTATTGTGATTAATTAGTTATGTACGAGTAGTGGTGAAATACATCGGTCAGCAAAATAAACAAACAGGTACCAAGTTTCTTTGTTCCTGAAATGTAGGCTACACAAATATGTTAGTGGTAATGTTTACACTTCTTCCTTTTTATTTACGCCGCCAGCGTACAGACGTTCACCTAAATATTTAAAACTTTCCGTAGTAATAGTATTTTTGGCTTGTAGATAATAGATACATATAACGCTTAATCACGTTAGACTGATAAACACCTTATTTACTGTTTTCCGCATGGATAATAACAATACCTATGATTGATTTGCGCGAGTTAAAATCAAAGGCGAAAATGTTAAACTCACAACTATATGCGCTTTTTCGACTCCCAAATTATACATATCTAAACATAACCATAACTGTCTGTCTGTCAGTAATATGCACAGTACAAAGTTTATCTAAATGTATCTGGAAATAAATGTAAATTATTAATTTTATAATACCTTAACATGGTGCCATTCGATTCCGCCTTCTTTGATGATTTAAAAAGAAATCAAAAAGGTCTTATCGCATCTCATAATGAAACTTTTTCATTAAATAAATTGACATTCCATTAACTATCAAATAGGTAACCTCAAAAATTTCAATATAATATTAAATAAATTATTATTTGTTGGGTTACTTATGTTAGTCTCTAAACTTACACCTGATTTGCCATGTTTACAGGTTAATCATTAAACTTTTGGTTAGTTGAAAACTCTGACCAAGCTTAAAAGCATTTGGGGTTGGAATGTTTCAGAAATTAACTGTAAACACTGTCTATAAAGTGAACAATATAAAAATTGTCCAGCGAAAATGATTTGATTGTAACAGCGATACTAGTAAAGCCTAGTTAGTATCCAGCGCATACCTTGTCATTTATCAATCACTCGTCACATATTATTTCGCTGTAAAGTGATAAAAAGACGTGTTTGAAGTGGAGTGGCGGGTTAGCCGGCACGCCAGTGAGGAGCCGTAGGACGGCCGAGCCCGACACGTAGCCGCCACACGGCCCACGCGCGAACTACAGCGACAGAGCGAGACGGCTGTACTGACGCAGATACAAGCTGATGTGTCCTCGGTTTATATCGCTCATTCAATGAGTTGAACAGTTCGTTTGTATATGAGCGACACAGGCGTTGTCGCTGCTCGGTTGCCGTCAAAACTTCTAACATTGTTTTCAAATAAATTGTGCATACTGTTACAAAGACTGTTTCTACGCGCAAAGTTTATAAATAGCAGTGATATACCACGATCATGTGTAACGCGGAGGTAGTTAAACCTTTACCACTATCCCTGAGAGTGGTTCATGTGCTGAGATTAATATTTGCAAGTATCGGGAAGTTTGTCTTAAGTTTGTACTATGGAAACGAAGGAGAAAAGATTCCACCGATATACGATGATATCCTGAAACAGCCGGCTATTGTAGTTGCGAAGAAAATCCGGAATAAAGAGGTAAGTTTTGAGCAGTATAATAAAAATTTTAGGGAATAGAAAGTAAGTTCTCCCGTTATGGAAAAACTTTTCACGAAGGCTTTTAAATTAAAAGTAGGTAACTCTGTCCGCGTTGATGTAATGTTATTATTTGCAAACATGAACATGACAACAGTTTGCCGGCAGACACAAGTTTAATAGCCAGTGATGTAACGTTTAAAGAGGAAACACAATACCTACTTGATGCAAGTAGGTAGGTGCCATGTAACAAGTAAATTGAATGGAACAGAATGACTATTTGGTCAAAAAATACGTGCCGTCTGACGCATGTAGGTAGATTAGGATTATGGTTGCCGTGTTTATACCGGTTTTTGATACAGGTAGGCATTACTTTACTTTTTTATTGTATATCTGTGTCCATATTCAAGTACAGTTATGTTTACACAGCTCGACCGATAACAGTAACCAAGTACGAATTGGTCGCTATGCATTTAAAAATACAGTTTCATAACAAAACGTTGATATTTGTAGCATAACACATAGTATCAATCAAGGTTCAAACTATAACAAAATAATGATTCATTACGTGCACGTTCTTATCTTCTTAGCAAATGATTAGATTATTGTAAATTATCCTGCGTATTTAGGTACTTACATTAAAACGTCTGCAATGTCGGTATAAGGATTAGGGATAACCAAATGGAACTATTAGAAGACTATGTAATATGTATAGCGTTCTTTGAACATCGGTCTATAAAAATTTTGAGCTGTCCTCATTTTTCAATGGTCTTCATAATTAAATGGGCTTGGATTTGCATCATAATTTTTTCAGGCAGTATAAAAAATAAAACGAAGATTTATATTATCAGTTGTTTCTATGTTTAACACGAGATAGGTAAACTTCATAATACAAAAACGTGACTTATATTGAAATACTCGTCGCATTATCTCCTAGTACATCGAGCGTGTAGTCCTCCAAATTTCAAGTTCACGGTATAACCTTGACATTATAATCGCCACATACATATTTAGTAGTGCCCTTGTATACTTAGTACACAAATTAAACGATTTATTGATGTCTTTAGTAAATAACGATTCCAATATTTTAAGACGATTTTGTTTCGGTTAAGACTTCACGTGTCTGATTTTTGAGAATAAATAGGTAGTTTTTCTTTCAAAAAATTGATAACTTGGTTCCTATATTTAGATAGACAATCTCCCACGAGAATGGGGCTCTCAAAATGTTTAAAATACATTTGCCAAACCAAAACCGTAGAAACGATAAGATTAAAATAGGTACTCTTGAATTTCATAATACACAGTTTAGATAAGAAATATTATTCGTATGGCTTTTACCTCATGAATCATGTTTTATAGCTCTGTGAAAAGAATTTTCTTAATTGCTAATTTACGTCTACCATTATAAAGTACTTATACATTAATATTTCAGCTGCGCAAGTAGGCAGGTAACTAATTAATGTTCATGATTAGCTATGATTAAAAAATGAAGTTCTTTTGGGTCATAGCATAGCAACGATGTTTTGTAAATAAACTTGCTTTTGTCCTAGATTTTGTAGACATATTATTCTTTATTTTGTTCCCGTAGGAATTTTGGAAAGAAATTAGGGCTTAAGTGCTTTTCTACATTTTCTAAGGAACTGTGCCTAACTTCAGCTTTCTACTTCCAGTAGTTTCGGTTATTTCTCAGTAACTGAAGTTTTTGTTAAACTAAGTTACGTACGCGACTGCTTGACAACTTTTTTATATTTCAGATCTTGCACAAAAAGTGTCAATTTGTGTCCAACGTCTAGAAAAACATTTATTACCATTATATTACAAAAGTATTGAATTTGAAGCGTACAGTACAAGTAACTAGTGTGTTTGTTTAGGTAACCTAGTAGTGCTTCCAGTTTCTAGCATGTTCCTAATAACATGAGTCAGGAAAAGTGGGTTAACTATTCTATTCTGCGAACTCACCCGTGGAGAAACAAGATTTTGTTGTGATAATGTAGGTAACTAAATAGGTAAATATTAAAGGCGTAACGAGCTAGTTATGACTCAAGTATAGACGGCACAAAAGCCTTTTGTTACCTGTATTGTAGATGAAACCACTTTGTATTGTCTCCGCTACGAATTCCATATAATCGTCTAATATCGAAAGTGGGCTTAACTATTCATGTTGAGGAAAAAAGTGGTCGTATATTGAAGAACATGTTGGAAGTAGATTGCTCTTAAAAACAATGTCAAGCAAAAGTCATTACTTAGACTAAAATATTATTATGGCTACGTTAGATTACGGCTAAATTAGGCTAATTTTAAATTCAATTCAAAGTGCCAAATAGAATAAACAGGTGAATTTGGTGGCCATAATTGGACCAAAACAAAACTAATTAGATTCGGCCTGGTCTGGGATATCGTGGAAATTCCCCGCCGAGGGAATATTTTGGAATGAAAACAATGTTACCTGCCATTTTCATGTCGTGGGCTAGGTAGGATTATTAAATACTGTTTGTCACATAAATAAAGAAAAATGTAAACAAAATTTTGTTTTTTCAAAGTTTGTTTTCAAAGAAATATTGAAGTTTGTTTAGTACAATATTGTTATTCAATAAGACGAAATAGCTGAACGGATTTGGATAAAATTGGTCTTGCGAGTCAACTTATTTTTATAAAGGATATATTTTAGATTTGAGGATAAATTGGTTGCATACCTATTGAATGAAACAGTCAAAACTAATGTAACAATGTATGAAATCGGTTGAGATTCAGAATCCAAGGTTAAATCCGATTACAAATAGAGATCCTCCTTGCGCAGTACCACCATAAACATGAATGTGCATACGCGTATTTGTGAACCGTTTGTACTACAAAATAGTATCTGTTTCAAGTATATGATTTCAATTCTTAGTATTGTAACGACTACATATTTATTTCCTCTGGTTCTAACGTATCCTATAAAAAATGTTGTAGGTAATATTTATTTTTGTTCTTTGTGATCTGTGTGTACGACTATGTAATTTCGAAGAATTAGATTTTTTTTCGCTGACTTGAGAGATTGCAATTTAATTTGTTGATAATATACGAATACAAGTTCAGTAACCTCGTCAGGTATGTACATAAATATTTGCAGTAGACCATAAATACTGCTAATTATTAAGATAAAATTGCCCTGAACTTAGACTTTGAGCCTAAATACGCATAAGAAACAACAGGAAATACAATACCCAATGTTGATTGATCAACGACGAAACTAGTAGCATAATTCTGTTTAAATGGGTTCACAATGCGACTGAATTGACTGTAAGTGTTGTCAGTCCACTGAGATGGTAGAATTTGCTCTTTTGTGTTCAACAAAAAGATATGAAATGGATCGAGATTGTTCGCTTTGTAAGCAATCTTTTGAGGTTAAACGGCAATTGAATGTATGAAAAGTTTTAAGCCAGAAAAATATTAAGTGCTAATCCATTACCCCAATTTGGTTTAAACTTGGTATTAAAGGATAAGGGACTTCTTCATTCTGATATATCTTCTATACGTATCAAAAGATATGGATTTACACGTTGTGAGGATTGGTATGAGTTTGAGATATAATATTTAAGGAAAAACGAGATATATTGTGTTGACTTCTTAAATAAGGGACAGTAAGAGAGAACCGACATTGTTGAAGAGAACAAGTGCTAGACCCAAATCATACTTTACCAAGTACTTGTCACGAGTCTGTGACGTAAGGTTAGAACGGAATATGCAAATAAATCGTGAACCGTGTTAGGATTAATTGACTCAACTTATTTCAAACGTCCCAAGTCCGTTGAGCGAAGTTAAACTTCTTGCTTTGTTACCTTCCAATTTCGAATCAAATTATTTTAATTACCTGTAAAGGCTTGTGGCCAAAGTTTGTAATGAGGTACTGAAGTAAGCTAAAGACGATTGCGGTTAAGTACTTAACTTTAAACTCAGTAATTATATTGTAACGATTGTATTCAGGATGCTAGGATCGGAATGGCGACAGCCCGTCCAAAGTGTCCTTGATAACATTTACAGCAGTCGTTAACAAAAGCAAGAAGTTTGAATTTGTAATTTATTTCTTAAGTAAGATAAGACGAGGTTCCTGTTTAATTATCCTCCTTTTTTCTTCCATTCTTTCAAATAAAAGCTATTGATCGGACTTAGATAAAATTGGTAGTCATAGGCGTAGATCATGTTTCTAATATTTTTATCCTGGTAACGTAGAAGCTAGCATTTATTAAAAAAACCTAACACTTCTTGGTATTCTTAAGATAATAATTGTAGTCTGCCATAAGTGTCGCTATTACATGCAATAACCAACGACACTGAAGCTGTAAAAGTTTTACTGAGGTGTAAATGATACCTACAGACAAATATTTATTTTTATTATCAAGTTTTATTATTTGACTTATATGAATTCGTAGTTCTCTGTGTGGCACAAAATTACTTAAGGAACATTAACTTTCAAAAACTTATTTTGAGGTAAAAATATTTACAAGGTCTTTCGTACCTAACTAAAAGTAGCGTTTCACGTCATTTTAACTGGTTCAAAGAGAAAGGGTTGCATTGCGTTTATCAAGTTAAATTTTAAAAGTCAGCCGGTATGTCTCACAACGATTTCACCAAAATAGCAGGATGGAATTAAGAAATATAATTATTTATAATTTTTGTCTTATGATTTTTTTTAATTGAATACCTAGTGACTTTTAAAATAATATTTTTAATCTTAACAATCTTGATCTTGGTAGTATTTTTTAATTTCTATAAAATTATTGTTATTGTAGACTTAATTTTTATCATTTACACTTGAAAAAACATTCTCATATAATGTAATTATGTTTTTTAATTACAGATCACGAGCGTGGAAGTGGTAGAAGCATGTATACGGCGGATTAAAGATGTTAATTCTGCCCTAAACTTCTTCGTCGAAGATCGATTCGAAGCGGCTTTGAAGGAAGCACGCGAGGCCGATGAACTCGTCCGAAGCGGTTCGATGTCGGCCGCACAGTTGGAACAGGAGAAACCCTTCCTCGGCGTTCCATTTACAACCAAAGACTGTATAGGTGTCAAAGGTACGTTAAAACGTGTAAGCTATAGATAATCTAGACATAGTTTCCATAACTATGGAATATTTCTTTAATTTCATTAGATTAAAAATTATACGTAAATGATACCGAAATGTTTTTGGGTAAAATGTTTACTGCCGAGATCACAGGTAGGTATTCCTGTTATCTCAGCAGTAAACATTTGAATATTTCACACATTTTTTGCCTATTAAGAGTTCTACGGTAATACGCATTTGACAGAAAATGAGAGAAAAAAGTAAATACACAGTAGGTACGTCTTTAAAATAAATGATTGAAAATGAAAATTCATAAAAACTTTTATGAATAATGTTAGACGTAGATAAACAGTAGCCATAACAATATTTATCATAATTTATATGAACGATAGTCATTTATAATGATCTTTTTTATCAAAAATATTAAATTCAAGGATGTCTTGACTTCGTCAATGTATTCGATTACATTTCAAATCTAAGTTCAATGACTCGATTCTGACATCTGACAATGATGCCAGTACGAAGAATTATATTGACTTTAAAAAGAGGTCACATGAAAGAGGTTATATCATACATAATGCCTACCATCAATTGTAAGTAATTGACAGCGTTGTAGGTAGGTTTTTATATCCATGTGTAGCTAGCGGTGTAATTGATGCACTGTTTCATAATTAAAATAGAAAATTATTATGGTTGTAGGTAGTTCTGTACCCGAGTAATTAATGGTCGTGGTTAGTTAATAATTAGGAACTTACATTACCTGAAACCTTGGGCGTTAAAACAAATAAAATTCTATTATAATTGTTCTGCTTTTACACTTCTGTTGGACTGAGGTAATAAGTAACGATACAAACTCGTAGAAATCTGGTAAAACCTTTTTTGCAAATGTAAAGTTAGGAATCGTGGGGTCTGTTTCCCGATGGGATATTTATATTTCTGTATTTTTTCTCTTTTATTTAAGCGACAATTTGAATTTAGAATTGAAAAAAAACACCATAAGACAGTAAAATTAATATTTATGTACGTATATTTATTTTATAAAAAGATAACGATACCTCACATATTAGTCAATTAGTGAGTACCAAAGTATGATTATTTTCATTATAAGTTGGTACCTAAATAACGTGATACTAAAATGTTACTCATTGTAGTTACTAATTATACCTAACGATAGTGCAATGTCCAATTACGAGGCTGAAAATTACCTGTTTGACTAAGCAAAGCTGATTCAATTATAATTTAATATTTTTTCTTATTATTTCTACTTATTCAATTTCAGTTTTTTTCAAGCCTCCATACATGATATCTATTTCTTTCTCCATACTTGAATTTGACTCTTGACTTCGAAAAAGTTTTAGTTAGCAAGGATTTGATATTTTGATTATGGTGGGACTGTGGGACTCAAGGATGTTTCCTTGATTCAGTTAATAGGTGGCTGTAAATATTGTATGTGTAGGTCCATAACATATCTACTGGCAGTTCTTCCCATTTTTCCTTTAGAAAAGGCATGAAGAGCTTAATACTCACTACAAAAATTAATTATCCTTTTCGATGATTTCAGGATTGCACCAAACAGCCGGTGTGGTACTTCGCAAGGATGTTATCGCTGAAAAGGACTGCGATGTTATCATGCTGTTAAGACAGAATGGTGCCATCATTTTAGGACTCACGAATGTCCCTGAATTGTGCATGTGGTAAGTACCTATACCTTGTTATTTGTGATTTTATTAGGTACATCCTACTAGTTATCTTATATCTTATACTATTATATAAAGCGGAAGAGTTTGTCTTTTTGTTTGTTTGTCTGATTTGAATAATTATTTTTGTGTTGGATAGCGCATTTATCGAGGATGGTTATAGGCTAAAACTAAAACATTACGCTACGACCAATAGGAGCTGAGCAGATCGTGTGAAACCGCGCGGAAGTAGCTAGTTAAAGAGATAAAGAGTTGCAAGACAAACGAAGATACGATATTTGTAGTAGAGTAGTTTTATGTAGACAATGAAATTACAAATTTAAAAACGTAGGCAGAGAATTTATTTTTGAGGGAAACAGACAGATCCAACAGACAAAACGTTTAGTTGGATTAGAGTAATTATCTCGTCACTACACTGCATCATTGCACTGGTCACCGTTATACTAAATAGATTATAAAACGTATTATAATAAATGTTCCAGGTGGGAGACCCATAATCACATCCATGGCAGAACCAACAATGCTTACAACACTACAAGGATGGTTGGTGGTTCATCTGGCGGAGAGGGGTGCTGCCAGTCTGCTGCTGGAAGCGTCTTCGGTATAGGTGTGTAAAATAATTGACTTTTGACAATCTTCTATCAAGACAGAGATGCTTATAGTTACAAGGAGGCATTATAGACAACGATGGTGTGATAAAGATTCTGTGAAAGGCAGTTTACCATCAAACGGCAAAGTTTGTTGCCAAGTAGTAAAAATATGTACTGACTGGTTCGGTTTCTGGGTTCAAAAGCTACATGGGTACCTATGTACTTTACCAAAATATCCAGTACCTACCTACCCATATACAGTAGTCATGAGCAGAAAGGAACCTACAAACTTACCAATCGTTTTAGGAAAAAATCTTAATAATATTATAATATTCATTATCCTAGTAGACAGACTCTGAGTCCCATTTTGTACTTATAGAATTTGTTTCTCATAAAAACATGCATTAATAATGAGTTCACTTACATGTGAAATACATTTTAAAACTGTTACAGACTTCATACAAACATTTGCCTTCCTAGATCAGTTTTTACACTGCCATTTATAAATATTCCGTCAGCGCAATCCAATGTATGTTTATTTTATTCACGTTTTTACGATACTAATTTCACTAATGCGTTTCTATGTCATCATTTACGTACTTTATGATTTGAATATTGAACCAATAAAGACATTTGATAACTTATATGCAGAGTAGTGTTATAATGATCGTTTTGTAAATTTAAGGTTCCGACATCGGTGGTTCGATACGCATGCCAGCCTACTTCAACGGAATTTTTGGTCACAAGCCGTCGCGAAACATTGTCTCAAACGAAGGACAGTATCCCGTTCCGGAGTCTGATTTACTGAATTCATTTTTAGGTAAGAATTTATATTATATTTAAACTGCACTAAAGTATAGGTGGAATATGATGATATTTTGCAAAGGTTTAGTGGAAAAACCAACAGATATTAATGTAAATGTATCGCTATTCACAGGCATTGGTCCAATGACCAGATATGCGGTGGACTTGAAGCCTATCATGAAAGTTATAGCAGGACACAACGCTAAGAAACTTAACCTGGATGAACCTGTCGATATTAAGAAACTCAGGTATTTCTATCAGTTTAGTACAAATGGTCCTTTGGTGGACGCTGTTGATCCAGAAATTATAGCCGCCATGAAAAAGGTCACAGAATTCTTGAAAAAACAATATAAAATAGAAGCGCAGGAGAAGAAAATACCACTAATGCGCAAGGCAATGGCCATTTGGTTCGCAAATATGAAGAGTAAGAAAAGGTTTGGTGAATTTATTATGCCCAACGACAGTATAGGCAGCATATTGTTCGAAATGGTGAAAAATGCATTTGGACTATCTGGTAACACATTCATTGGTCTTTTTACGTCACTGTTCGATTATGGAGGTGCTGAGGTCGGAAGCGAGAGATACAAGCATTATCTCAAACTTCGCGACGATTTAGAGATGATATTTGTAAACTTGCTGGGTGATGACGGCGTGTTCTTCTTCCCCACTCATCCGACAACGGCACCGTACCACAATGAACCGCTCGTCCGACCCTTTAACTTCTCTTACACTGCCATCATTAACTGCTTAGGACTACCATCAACAACAGTGCCTCTAGGTTTAAGCAGGGAAGGTTTACCAATTGGTATCCAAGTGATAGCCAATCACAACCAAGACAGATTATGTTTCGCCGTAGCTGAAGAATTAAATCAAGCATTTGGAGGATGGGTGGAACCCCAAAAATCATAAATAATATTATTTGTATAACATTACAATGGTATCAAAGTGCATGTCACAATGTTTTTTTTAATATTTAACAAATTTATATATTGCCTTAAATGTTATTTGTAGTGAGATTTAATTTATAATGATATTTTATGAATAATCTTGTTTATGTGAGATATTTTTAGATGTGTGTTGGCATTGAGATACGAACTGGCTATGGATGGTACAAGGATTTTTACTAGTGATGACTGTTCCCTTTTTTCATAGAAATGAGTACCTATACTTAATACGAATCTTTCAGTTTCTTTTCGACAATAATTTTATTTTTGTAATACCTACGGGTAAAATTATCTCATTTAAGTAAAATATGAAGTTAATTGTAAGGTCTCGTTGGTTACTACTTACCTAATTTTTTTACGAGAAGGCAATCAAAAATGCTTTATGTTAAGATTTTTTTAAGCATATTCTAAGTTAGGTAGTACTTATTTGTATGAAACGAGTAACAAGATCTATTATTATTATCTATTATTATGTATTAGATAGATTGTATCGGAGTACTGGGAAATGTCAGTTTAGCCTATTCAATAGGAAAAGCGAAATGTAATAAATTTATTTTTCAAAAAATTATGACTAGTTATTATTTTGAAATGTTCCCAGATGCATATATGCTTAATAGCTTGCTTAAACAATCTTGACAAATGGGCTATTAACACTGTTACTGTCTTTGATTCCTGGATGATGCAGGGCTTTATTTCTCTATTTCTAAATCCCAAATCGATGCTTTCTCTATCAGTGGCTAAAGTATCGGCTAGTTTACAATGCCGCGGCTAGTTTAAAATCTGTTGATCCACGAATTGTTGTTCCGCGTCTGGTTGTGACTTTCGACACGGGATAATTCAAAAGTACCTAATATCTTACTAATATTATAAATCCTAAAGGTTTTGTGAATTTATGTGTGAATCTTTGTTACTTAAACACTGGACGGGATTGAGATGAAATTTGGAACAGGGTTAGTTTATGATCTGGAATAACAAATAGGCTAGTTTTTAATAAAAACTTTTTATCTCACGGGAACGAGTGAACGCCGGTGGCAAATGCTAGTAATCAAATCTTATACCATTATATAAAGCGGAAGAGTTTGTTTTTTTGTTTGTTTGTTTGAACGCGCTTATCTCTTTTAATAATATTAAAAGAGATAAGCGCGAATAATTCTTCTTGTGTTGGATAGCGCATTTATCGAGGATGGCTATAGGCTATAAAACATCACGCTACGACCAATAGAAGCTGAGCAGAGCGTGTGAAACCGCGCGGAGGTAGCTAGTAAGAAATAAAACGACCCAGCCTGTCTACTTGACAGATTCCTGGGGAGCCCCTGAAGGAGAGGGGCGTTCAATGTTCATTTCAATCTTCATTTTGTTTACCTTTAAACCTTGGTATTTTAAGTCATTTATGTATATTTCTATTATATATTTTGGTTTACCTTCGCTTTATACTATATTTTGTTTTTTGTAGTTTTTAATCAACCTTATGTTATGTTATCCTGCTGACCAAGGTTTGACCCTATTGGAGTTAAGACTCACATACTGTATTGAATTATCAGGTTGTACACTAAAATACCTATTAAACTATCATCTACAAATTATTTATTAATGACATCCAAATTATTTATTAATAGGCAGACGTCAAATGGCGAGTTACCAAATATTATTTTCGAATCTAATTTACCTAAGATAAATGGCGAGTGCCAGTTCTATTTATAATGATGTGAGTAAGCCTTATCTAATCTAAAATATCTGAATGATTCAGATATTTTGATGCTTAATTTTATTGCTGAATGTTCATAGAGTGTAATAATATGCCATGGTCATTTCAGTACAACTGCATAGACTACAAATGAAATTTAGATAGATTCAAAACAATATAAGATAAGGAAATTTTTATATAAAAAAAAATGGCTGAATGTAATTGATTAGAATTTTAATAAATTAGTTTTAACAAAAGCATAATAAATTTACACTAGTGTACAACATTAATATAACAAATTATTTATTAGGAGTCAGCGAGGCTGTAGATTAAGTTTAATATTTCTTTCCTTTTAGCAGAGGGGTTGATCTTGTCAAGCATTTCACAGCTGGCTATCTGTCCTGTTAGATGTGCATGGTGAGCTAGCCGCTCAGCATTGCATAGGACATAGACTCCACAGTCATACCCATTGCTCTGTTGCAAACAATCTTTAGTTACAAAATTGATGTTACCTGAAATGAGTTCCCAATATTAGAATAAGATAAAAATCAAATTGTATGGTGCATACTTGTTTATGCCAATAGAGATCAGGATATAATATGATTTACTGATCAATTTGATTTATTTGAATTTAGAAAAATAATGGCAATATGTTGTTAAATCACTTACCCTTTGATAGATAAGGTATCAGATGACTAGCAAGTTCCCAGGCAGCTTTATGATTGCTCACATACGACGAATCCAAATGGTAAAAACAGGCTTCAGGTTTTGAATAAACTAGGAGACTCCAGTGAGAACCACCGGCCATGTCTGGCGTATCATTGTCATTTAGTGCAAAGAACACAAATTGTTTCTTACTTATTTCAAGAGGTTCTAGAAATGTTGCTATTTCATCTTCATGAACCATCTTTATACATTGTGTCACTTCTGGTGATACAAACAACAGTTCTGTAGCATTTTTGAATGTCTTTTTCTCTAAGTATTCAAAGTAAAATGATATTATTGTATCATTTAGCCAGTATGGCCCATTCAAAAGATGAATATCTGACTGATGAAGTAATATACTATGGAAGCTCAATACAATCGAAGGTTTGGCCATTTTCAATATATTAGGTACAACTTACGATGTCCAGTTACATTCAAGCCCTTAACACTATGTTGATATTGATCTGGTAAGCAAGAAAAATTTAACCAAAATAAAATATTTGTATACTTTTACAGCATAACAAATTAACGTGTCTGTCAACCTTGATAATTTGTGGATTTAAAATTTTACGAATTATTAATATTTTTTGTACATTATTTCTAGTTTAATTTATACAAAGAAGAACAAATTACTTAGAATATATAAACATTGCATAAAATTTAAGTAATATTGTTGTTCTATAATTAATAGTTCGCGTATAATGGGTAATATAATTGGTAAGAATATAATTTTAGTGGTCACATAAAAACAGGTCGACGTTCACATGTAATTTATTACATATTTGGTCACGAGAAATATAAATGAACTCACCTCAAAGGTTGATAAAGTGCGAAAGCATTTATAAGAGTCACGTTTTAAATAATTTAGATTTCACTAATATTTTTAAATTACTGCTTTTCCATACTGTTTTGCTGATTTATGCGACAAATAATTACTACGGCGGCCGTACGCAATCGTTCAATTCATTGCGATTTACAGCGATTTTGTCATTTTGTTGGCCGTCAATGTCATACGTCAATGCCAAAGTAGGAAAAATATCGAATGTCATTGTTGTCAAAGTGACGATTGACAGGAATAATTCGTTTAGATATTGATTTAGCTACCTATTCTTTAACATTGTGATGTCTTAATAATATTTTTAAACTTATTTAACATTTTCTTAGCTGAAGTTCTAAATATTCTTATTAAATAGCGGCATTTAAAAGAAATTAGGTAGTAGGTACTATTTCAAAACGCACCACTGCCTCAATGTTGCGTTGCCATATCAAAAAACAAAGTAAATCAATAAATTCACCGTAAAAGTGTAAAATAATGTTCTCGCACAAACGTTTTCATATAGTTGAATCACTTTCATTTTATTTAGACATATTAGATAATCACAGTTGAAATTATCTATTTTCAGCTGTGGTTTATATTATCCTACGCCTGCCGTAAGGACTGTAGGACAAAGCCTTCTCTACCTACCCTCCTTCCTCCTCGTCTCTGCATTAGCCAAACTCATTAAAGAATACTGTCAGGCAGTATACTCAATTCTTATTACAGTTCAGCAACTTTTTAAAATTCAGCTCCTTTTATTAATAATAGGTATTAGTGACTAGCATCATAAGTAATCTATTCAAATAACTTCTTAGGTCATGTTCATCTATTGATTGAACTAGTTAGCTAGATACGTCGACGACGTCGTCGCTCGAAACAATGCACTACGTAATTTATTGTCTTACCTATTTATTGTCTAGTCAGTCTAGGTATTTCTTCGCACTTCGAATTCATCAGCAAATGACGTAGAAAAGTATAAAAAACAAAATGAAGTGTACCGTAAAATGGGGTGAATAGGGATTGAGAGTTGAATAGGAACAGAAGAGGGGTGAATAGATATAAGGAAATTCTTCATAGTATCGATTTACCCCTCTTCTGTGCCTTTTCGCCGCTCAAACCCTATTCACCCCATTTTACCGTACCTAAAAAACTAAACATAAAAAGCAATTCGAAAATAAATTCCAAAAACAAAAATAATTAGTTAAAATTATTTATTAAATAATTTCATTTAACCATAAATAATAATTGGTAACAATTATCAGAAATAGTCATCACACATTGGTACTTAGGCGATTTGAAGAAAATAAATAGTGATTCGTGACACATTCACAAATGAAAAGCTTTAGGGGGAGTCTAGTTAATAATTTAATAACAGTAATCCACTCATAACATCAAAGAGTATACAGATTGTAATACACTCCACACTGTAACTTGTACTCACATAATTGTATATAACAGCTAAGAATATGACATGTGAACTATATACTAAGTGTATCACGCAACTTAATATTGCTAAATACGATTGATGATACTGATTGGGCTAAAAAATAAGAAATATATTCCAAATAAACTGGAAAATACCTCTTATTTTAAACGAAATTTGTCCTATGTCTTTGTAAATTTACTTAGTAGCTTCTTTTAGGTAGGCGATGAGGTCTGCACGTTCATTGGGCTTCTTCAGACCGGCGAACACCATCTTGGTACCAGGGATGTACTTCTTGGGGTTCTCCAGGTATTCGAAGAGGGTGTCCTCACCCCATGAGATACCTATAAAAATGTGATATAATTTATTACTATCATTATTCATGACATTGAAAAAATATCTTGAGAGACTGATAATAAGTGATAACTAATCAAGTTTTATATCAGACATAGTCATTCTGATTGAACGTATACACGTGGCGCTAGATTTACGCCTCTCTAGTAATAGGTATGTAGTAGTCACTGGAACTTTGGACATGACATCATCAACTAAGTAGTTAGAACAATGCGTTTGTTTGATATACATCAGTGTCATAAATAGCTGTAAAGTATATTTTAAGAAAGAAAACAACTACACATGAAATTATAAAATAGTGATAAACATGATTGATTTTATTATCTCAAGGTATCTGAATAGTACAGGATGTGGTGTGGTTGGATTAAAGAAATAAGATAATGTTATATTCCAATTAATGTTAAGGGCATGTTATAAATAAATTACTCACCTTTGGACTTGTTGGCATCTGAGTATGAGAAGCCGGGAGCCTGGCCAGTCTTGCGACCCCAGAAACCGTGTAGGTTGGGACCTACTTTGTGTTTGCCTCCGGCTTCAACCTGTAACATAAAGATAAATAGTTAATATAGAATGTTCTAGGCTATTTCCTCATGACATAATCATTTATTATGTAAGAATCACTTGACAAATTTGTCAAGTCTATTCTATCTATTCAATATGGGAGTCTAGAAAATTCTACTGTTTTTTTTATGATCTATTATTCTGAATGGAGTCACATGGTCAGAATATTTTGCAGGAGTAATATTGAACTAAAAGTTAGTATATTAACTACAATAATTTATCTCATATATGAAAATTAACTTTTATTTACAGAAAATTGGACATAATGTTCAAATTCAAATGACTCATTATGAAAAATTTAGTAAATGTAGAGAATTGGATTTACCCAGTTACAAATACAGCAGGAAAATTAAATTCTTGCTAACATGCAAGTTTAAGGTTTCGAGGAAAAATATATTTTATCAGTGATGCCAGAAATAAAATTTCAATGTCACGAGTGACAATGGGCAATGTCATTAATGACAATTGATGATGTTCAAAGAAAGCCGATTATACTAAAACAGAGAATAAATACTTACAGTGTGGCACTGGGCACATCTTTGGACAAAGATTTTCTTGCCGTTTTCAGCGTTTCCTGCAGGGACACCCATGTTCCTGGAAAGACAAATCAGCAAAAATTTAATAAACAGTTTTCACTGTACATTTATAAAATAAAATAATAAAAGAAACTGTTGATTGATTGGTTGAGTGATTTTTATAGGTTATGTTGAGATCATGATGACTTCAAGGTCATGACTGACCGTGGTTATTTCCTATAATAATTAATTATTCTAAGTTTTAGATCACATGGGTAGGAGTATAATGCATACAAAAAGGAATTTATTTCTAAAAATGTTAGGTAACACGAAAAATGGGTGGGAATCCCGATTGAGTCAGCACAAGTAATGAGCATTTTTGGATCCCATATATTTATAATATAGATTAAAATATTGGTCATGAATACAATGGTTATTAATAATTGCTGGTCTGGAATTTACCAGTCGGAACTAGGTCAGGATCAATGTCAGCGGGGAGTTCCAAGGCACAAGGTGTCGTAATGTCATGTTACGTAAGTGGATGAAATACTGAATATACACCAAATCACCACAATATTATGTCCCATAACAAACATAATAATGCCCCCTAATTGATATTATTATAATAATTGCTTAAAGAACACTCAAATCCATTAAACACTTGTTCAGCGAAAAAAATTACCTAAGCTTTAACACAAATCAATACGCGTGTTAATTTTAAAACTGAATGATAGATATGATTACGGCTTAAATATAACAAGAATTTACTTACGATTTTTGTGTTTTTTGAGTTAAGTAAGATTACCGCGACGTTCGCTCACCACAATTTAGACTATTTCAATGACGAAAATGAATACGTGAAGTCGTGACAGCAACGTGCGTGCACACTCACACGGCAACGAATGAATGAACTAGAGAATAATGTTGCCACATCTTTGCTCAATGTGCCCGCGCAAATCGATACGTAAGCAAATTCCTACGTAATCTGTGACGTTCAAAAGGGTCTAAATACAAGTCCACGTCCGTTTACCTTCTTATTAATTTATTTTATGAATAGTTTTGGTATCTACAATTTAAAAGATTCATTGGGTAAAAATATTTTTTCTAAATCATTCATTCAATAATATTACAAAGTCTGCAAACAAATTAATCCATAATTACACAGTTAAAAATCATTAAGTGAATGTAGTAATTAATTGATTTGAAAATAGTTTTTAATCCCTTGTTTTATTCAATATCAAACTTGTATTTTTTTTTTAAATCCAGTAGTATGTTGGTAAATTAATTTGCTGTTTAGATTACCTATTTAATACTAATGTTACCTACCTACTGATATGGAAAATTTTTCTATATTTTATAGTACCTAGTCAGGAAATAAATTATTCTACTTGTTTTACGGGCCGGCGAGACGAGAGCCACGGTCTCACAAAAGAACAACGGAAAGCAAAGTTAGCGCTGTGTTTTTCCGTATGAGTGAGGTTGCCAGAGGTCCAATGTCCCTCCCCCCATCCACAAATCTTTATTAAAATTGTAAGTAGGTAGGTATTTGTAATTCATCTGCTGTATTTAGGGAGTGTTCCTGATACGGAGCTGCGGAAAACTTCATGGGTTACCCGGGCTCCGGCTCGAAGTGTAGGAGTAGGAACAGGGTGGTTTTTAGTTAGTAAGAGTACTATAAGGGAGTGTTTTTTGCGACCCTATGTCAAAGTCAAAGTCAAAATCATTTATTTCAATTAGACCAGGATGGCACTTTTGAACGTCAAACAACAAAAATGTATAAGTGAAGCTAGTTGCTCATTCCAAGGCGTAGATTCCTATGGAGAAGAATGAACAAAAAACTCCATAGGTTACTCTTTTTCAATCAGGTTTACAATACAATTCTCTAGTTACATAGTTTTTAACCGACTTCAAAAAAAGGAGGAGGTTCTCAATTCGACCGTATATATGTTTTTTTTTATGTTTGTTCGCCGATATCTTCGTTGTTTATAAACCGATTTTGAAAATTCTTTTTTTGTTAGAAAGGAGATAGTTCCAGAATGGTCCCATGATAAGGAAATCAGGATCTGATGATGGAAGACCAGGGAAACCGAGGGAACTTTTTAAAAATTATAGGGGTGACTAGGGCATTTGTTAATTTTTTCATTAATATTAAAAACCACTACAATCTGATAAAGGTCTGAGCCGATCTGATGATGGAGCCGAGAGCCAGTTGAGGGAACTCCTCAACGGTTAACAGTAGCTACCTTGTGTTTGGGTTTTATTAATTTGTATTGATGAGGACTTTACACCTGTGTGGGATGTAATTGTCAATAAGGGTCTGATGATGAAGTAGTACAATAGTCGAAGGAACTCCTCAACGGTTAACAGAAGCTACCTTGTGTTTGGGTTTGATTAATTTATATTGATGAGGACTTTACACCTGAGTGGGGTGTAATTGTCAATAAGGGCTTGATGATGAGTAGTACGATAGTTGAGGGAACTCCTCAACGGTCAACAGTAGCTACTTTGTGTTTGGGTTTGATTAATTTGTATTGATGAGGACTTTACACCTGAGTGGGGTGTAATTGACAATAAGGGTCTGATGATAAAGTAGTACGATAGTTGAGGAAATTCCTCAAAGGTTAACACTAGCTACCTTGTGTTTGGGTTTGATTAATTTGTATTGATGAGGACTTTACACCTGAGTGGGGTGTAATTGTCAATAAGGGTCTGATGATGAAGCAGTACGATAGTTGAGGGAACTCCTTAACGGTTAACAGTAGCTATTTTGTGTTTAGGTTTGATTAATTTGATTGATGAGACTTTACACCTAGATGGGGGGGGGGGGTGATGGTCATTAAAGGTCCAATGACGAAGTAGTATGATAAGGTGGACTCCTCAATGGTTAAGAGTACCCACCCGGTGTTGAACTTGCATAATTTGTAATGATGAAAACTTTGCATCCATGTGGGTTTTGTATAAATATATATATCAAAATATATATCAAAGTACTAAAAAACTGCGTTTAAAAAAACCGACTTCAAAAACAAACAAACAAACTAAAAAGGAAAAAAAACTATTATTGGTCATACGTACTTATAGCTTACACACCCACTGATAGGTTAGAAGTCGGTGCCACAAACCCACAATAAAATATAAAGTAGACAAAAGTCACAGCTGGTATAATCCATAATAAAATTGTAAACAGCTCAATAATGTTAGGTATCTATTAAGGTTTTAATGAATAATTTTGTTTAAAACTTGTGGCACCGACTTCTAACCTATCAGTGGGTGTGTAAGCTATAAGTACGTATGACCACTAATAGTTTTTTTTTCCTTTTTAGTTTGTTTGTTTGTTTTTGAAGTCGGTTTTTTTATTGGTTCGATTATGTGAGAACAATGCAACACCTAAATCCAGTCAGAAAGTTATGTTATAAAATAATGAAAATAGGTACCTTGTAGATATCCATGGGAATAAGCTGGTAACAGTTTATACAGCTCCAGGACCCATGGCGCAAAGCCTGCCATTCTGTTTTCGAATATCCTTACTTGGATAAATTATAGAGATTTCCAAAATCATGATAGTTGAGCAATCCGTCCTGTAGCCGCTCTTCCTAGTTTTTGCTCATAGATCCGTAGTTAGTCATTTTAGGTGACCATCGGTATTCAATCTATACAACTTCAAAATGTTTTTGTAAACTATTCCACAGTTACACATAGTCTTTACACCTTTTTTTTAGTTTTTACCATATGCTGATTTATCCTTCTATAATATTATACTTAATTTGTTACATTTTTGGCTTAGAAAGATAAGGCGATACAATCGTGACAGAGTAACTGTCAGCGTCAATTAATTAGATTCTGTTTTTATTGCGGCGTTACTTCTTTTCGCCCAGTACTTAGTACTGATAGTGTTGGTTTATAGAAAGGAAAAGGTTTTATCTGTAGATAGGTACCTACGCTCTATCATCTATGAGCACATCTCCCATGCCTTTAGAAGAACTCTTTATTGGATTGGCTGGCGATGAGCGAAAACTTTCTCATGACATCAATTTTTATCTAACCGCTGGGGCTGATCTTCGTTATATTGTAATTAAACTCATGATAAATCGTAAGGTTATCTAGCAATGTATCATAAGTTTTATATACTTACCTATCTAATGCGAGGCAAAAATATGTATGGAAAAAGTAACTCGGCAATTAAAAAATAATTATGGCGTAATATTAAGACATTCTTTTGAAACATCAACTGCACGTGACAATTGGACTCAGATTTCCTCTGCATAAGTGGGCTTGCCGGCTTGCCATAATCTCCAAGCGGGTTGTTGATCGCTAGTAGAGAGATGGTTGTCGAGAGCTGCTTAGGTACTGCTTCTGATTTCTTTCAAACGTATTGTCCCTTTTTTAAGGGCGAAAATCATCGAATGACTTATCCCGCCTGGACGAGGCGGAGGGAGTGTCAGACTCTTACGGACGACAAACTGCCCCAATCCTACTCATGGACTTCGAGCCGGAACCCCAGTAACCTTTTAAGTTATCCACGGCTCCGTATCAGCCCTATTGGGCCTCATCCGTGGTCTGATGGCTCCTTGAAGAGCGCGCGGAACGTGACGCGTTCGTCGGGCGGTGACCTACCCGTGCTCGCCGACCGCTGGTCCGTCACCGACCGTAGGCCCTTAGTCTGCTCTTAAGAGAATCAGCGAAAGAGTATGGAGGGTTCTAACTAAATGTCTCTAATTTGACGACACGACCAATCTATTTGAAAAATTATTTTTTAACTCGTGACATTAGAAATATACGTAATATGACGGTCGCTCCGTTTGCACTCGGCAATGAAAACTCTAGTGTTTACTTACGAGTAGATCTAATTTTGCGTGACTAAAAATAATAGAAGTGGTACGTATGTACGGCAGTCAGGTCCACACAGATCTATTATACCTACTTGTTATACATGTGTGTAGAACATTCCTTTGTGTGTGTGCGCGTAGTAGCAGTAGCTACAATTAGGTATATTTCAACACATGCCTAGGTACCTACACAATACTCATGCACGTGATGTACCTATAGGATGTATATAGATAGATGTAGGTGTGTTAGTTTTCTAGTAGGTAACGTTATTAGTTTTCATTGCAATTTGCTCGAGTAGTGTACCTAATGTTATTAGCACTTTACTTGTGAGCTTATGACGTCATTCGCGTGAATTTTCCCATACTATGATTCTCAAGGTTACCTAGTTTAATTTTCTTTTTTAATGGCAATGATATCTACTTTGTCATCATATAAGTAGGTACTGGTACAGTTAGTTACCGCAAACATAAGTTGCTACACAATAAGTACTTAACACAAATGTTCAGTTTATCTAGTGTTACTATGTTTATTGCCGTTAATACCTTATCAGATAAATTATAATAAGTGTCAGATAGCTTATCCCTTATTACAAGTACTTCAGTTACACAGGTTCATTACTGATTTAACAAATAAAATAGACACCTAAGTGCTATTGCGGTTTCAGATTATGAATATCAGAGTTGAAGTATTTATACAAAAGGATTTTTTATAAAATATTCTAAGCGTCAGTTTCACAATGTCCGGATAGCTACTATGTGTCAGACAAAGAATTAAAAACGTAGGTATTTGTATGAACTATTTGCCACATAAGTTATGATACGTTTATTAGTTACTCAGGGTACTTATACGAAGGTGGTAAGATAGGCGCTAAGTATTTTTAACCCGTCGAGCGTCCGCGTTCCTTATAATCCAACGGGTGCACACGTGACATTTGGAGAAAGAAAGAAAATGCATTTATTTGGCCATTGGCACACGAAAACAAGAATCATTAGGTACAATAGAAATAAAAAATACAGTCAAAATAAAAACAAAACATTAATAATAGGTTTTATAAAAGAGAAAGCAGCATGGAGCATTTTTTCTTATGATCCACCGGGTGCTCATAAGGACGCTCGAGGGTATAGGTTAAGGTGTATAGGGAAATCTGAAAAGTGGTCTTTATGAATCACACTAACGTTACAATGGTGAAAGTTTCTTTGCTTTGATGTTTGTCCGTCAATAACGCTGAAATTACAGAACTGATTGAAATGAAATTTGGTATCTATACAGGCAGCGTTTAGGCTGATTTAGTTGATAGGGTACTTTTTATTCCGATTAAATTAAATGCCCATGGGATAACAGAGGAAAACGCGGACAAAGCCGCGGGTAACAGCTAGTGAAATATAATTATTATTTTTTTACCAAAACTGTGTAACGTTGGGCTTTATATTGCAGCCTCTACGTCAGGGTGTGAGATGGAAATGAGGTTCGAATGCGCGAAAACTATAGTGAAAACGTTTATTAGCTGAACAGGTGCCTATAAAACTACACAAACAGGGGTTAACTTAAAATTAGTTAATGTAACCGGGTGCCTCGCGGAATTGCGGCTATGCGCTCTCGCGGCTAGTTGTCCACTGTCGTTGGCGGGGGTTCGCTTTCACTCCGTTAAGGGTGCGTCCGAGCAAAGACAATAAAGGACCCTTGCGCCACATCTGGGCCGCAGCTGGGCGGTGGTATGTCTCGCCGCCGTGAGGTATGCGCCCAAACCTAACTATTAACCCTCGTGTTACATACTCCCCCTCTGACCTAGACTAGCGCCCTCGCGTCTGGGTCAGCAATTACCTCCCTTAGGTCTACGTTCTCGTCAACTAATGCCGGAACTGAAAAGTCTGCGAACGGCGTCGGTCGGAAAACATGATACCTACCTAAGGTTTTCTTCTTGTCTACTTCCGTCAACACATGCGTTGTTAATGTCGCGGTATCTCTCACGCGCCATGGACGTCGCGGCATGGATCTAGGCGTTTGCCATGTAGTTGTTTCGTGGTAAGTTGACGGAGCTCGTTTACGCGCGCGTTCCGATCCTACGAAACGTTTTTTTTCTATCCCTAATCCGCCGGGTAACGCATGTGTGATAAAACTACGCTCGAACCACCCCCTCCCCCTAGACGGAACGCCGGCTACGTTTAATTTCTCGACCTTTGCACGTCGGGGTTTCTTATTGGGTGACCGGGTTCGGTTCATAGACAGAGTACCAAGTTGAACTCTCTGATTTATTGTCGAATTGGTACTTTTCCTATTCCTATCACTACGTACGTCTACCTTCTTTAGCACCCTCTGGCCACCGGTAGGTAATTCAAAGTTAGTGTGGAATGAGTACCAAACACGTGGTTCGTTATTGAATCGCCAATTGCACTGCGGTAAATCTAATAAGATACCGGCCTTCCTGATAAAGTCTCCCCCTAGCAATGTTCTAGTTTGCGCGTCTGGTAATACTATGAATGTAATGGGTATAATACGACCCTGTAAAGATACCTCCGTATCACATTCGAGTGCGGTTCGCAACTGTTGTGTCCCGTCGGCGAGTCCTACGATACGAGATGTTTTCTTAAATCTCGTGCCCGCTTTTATGAGCAATTCGTATAACATAGACCCCGCGATAGAGTGTGTCGCTCCCGTATCCAAGATGGCGACCCCATTTCGGTTCGCTACCTGAATCTCTACAAAAGGACGTGACCCCTCACTGTCCTGGACGTGAACGCTATGAAAGTCTAGCTTGTTACAATTGCTACATTTTGATCGCACTACTCCTTCTTGACCGCAACCATAACAACTTACCCTGGGAACTCTACCGGAGTTGTCCAAGGAGATATTTCTTCTATCTTTATTGCGACAACTATCTGCGGTATGACCGAAGAGTTTACAATTTGTGCATTTGGGCCTATTCCTTTTTGTTTTACCATTAGCATCATGTTCGTGAGCTACAGGCTTACGTAAGCTGTCACTCAGTAATTCATCGGCCGACCTATCGTCGAGTTTATTTGACCTACTCGAATCGCCTACTGTAATTGTAGGGTTACTGTCTGTGCTCGAACGTTCCCGTGTGACGACAGAAGGGTTAACATTATTTATGTTATTTTGATTACTATCGACCGTGAAGGAAGGATTATTTACCTCCGCTAACGACTCTTCGACTAACCTAGCCTTAGCTACAAGCTGTTCTAGTTCGGACACCGCGTCGCGAGGCACACGCTTCCTTATTCTACGATCTAACAATCCATAAACTATATCTAATAACATCTCTTCTGGTATAACATAGGGTAACTTCGATGTCAACGCGCGCACTTTATTAATGTACACATCAGCACGTTCACTATTTTGTTCGGCACGAAAAATGTCTCTAAATATCTTGTATCCGGGTCGCGGCACTCCGTACATCCCTCGAAGACGCTGCAACGCATCGGTCCATGACGTCACCGACGATTTGACGCCTTGCCACCAAACGGCGGCCTCGCCAACCAGCAACATCGGCAGCCCTCGCAGCGCGTGTTCGTCGCTGATGTTGGTGCAGTCACGGTATATCTCGATAGCGTCAATGAATGCCTCGAGTGCTTCCGCGTTCTTTGTAGACCCGTCGAATCGCGCTGTACACTTCGCGAAATTACCCGCTCGACGTGCGGTATATACGTCGCGCGTCTCGGGTGGCCGCGGTGGCGATGAGGGGCTTGGCGCGTCTTTATTCGCCAACATTGTTTCGATCAACAGACGACTTGCTTCCATTTGACTTTGTGTGATTTTGGAAATAAGTGCTTGGAGCATCTCTTCGGACATTGTAATGTTCGGTGATGTTACTACGGTTCTGTTGAAATCGTTGCTCGTGTCGGATTCCGACCCGTCATCTCTCCTTACAAGTCGTTTCGGCGGCATGTTCGGGTGATGAATCTTCTTGGTGGTAGATACGTTAAAATTCCGTATCTGATCCGTTACACGGGTTTATTGCGGGGTAATTCCTCTTCGCAGACTGTCACGTGTCGCGTGGATGACCTCAAGCGGGCACGTGGTGTGGACTCACCCAAGTTCACTTCAATCGCACTGTTTGCGGTATTCCTTGTGATTACTATAGGCAGGATTCGCACGATAGCATACACAATTTGCAGCCACTTGTTAGCTGTATCACAATTTCCACTGTTTTCGGGCCCCACGTTGGGCGCCAGTGTAACGTTGGGCTTTATATTGCAGCCTCTACGTCAGGGTGTGAGATGGAAATGAGGTTCGAATGCGCGAAAACTATAGTGAAAACGTTTATTAGCTGAACAGGTGCCTATAAAACTACACAAACAGGGGTTAACTTAAAATTAGTTAATGTAACCGGGTGCCTCGCGGAATTGCGGCTATGCGCTCTCGCGGCTAGTTGTCCACTGTCGTTGGCGGGGGTTCGCTTTCACTCCGTTAAGGGTGCGTCCGAGCAAAGACAATAAAGGACCCTTGCGCCACATCTGGGCCGCAGCTGGGCGGTGGTATGTCTCGCCGCCGTGAGGTATGCGCCCAAACCTAACTATTAACCCTCGTGTTACAACTGTTATTTAACGGTTTTAGGGAACAATAACAATATCATGATTCTTAATCTTGATTAAAGCAATTATTTTAATAGGTATTGTCCTGAAATTACACTAACAGTTAGTACGTTACATTTAATAACAGATAAAAGCTTAGGGTGTGTGATACCCGGTCGATATTTTGTTACTTTTTTATATGGGTTTGCATACAAAATTACATTCATTAACTAAAGCTAACTGACATACAGGATAAAATTACCCGATCAATTATAATTCATTTATCGCATGGCGACACTAGATAACACTGGCATATAGTATATCGAATTCTTTGCCTTCTTAGTCTGGTTACGCCTACTTACCTATCTATATACTCAGTTGATCGATTACATAAACAATAAATCCACATTCACGTATCAAGTTCGATAATGTTCGAAGATATACAGACAGATAAGGTCTATTTTGCAATATTTTCGCATTTTATTTGGAAATATGTGATATCGAAATTGATGCATTGAAACAATTGTGCGAACTACGAATGACTGTTATCGCGAACACTTTTTATAATTCGAACAATTGAATGAATTTGAATGAAACGATTCGTTTGATAAAATGATTGTTCTTGTGGAACATTCGAGAACTAATTGCTTAAGTAGATTATTATTGATTTCCTATTGTGTTTTTCTTGAATGCATGCCTAATTAGTTTTGTTATCAATAATTAAATTTTTGAATTAACTTGCCTGAGAATTGACATTATTATTATTGTTTTTCAATATGTTTATAAATATTTAAGAGCGCCATTTTTTTATGGAATAAGCCGGTAAACGAGCAGACGGATCACCTGATGGTAAACAATCGGCGTCGCTCATGGACACGTGGAACGCCAGGGGCATTACAAGTGCCTCACCGGCCTTTTGGGGGTTAGGAGTTTGAGGATTGTTGGGGATTCAGGGATTTGAGAGATTGGGGAAGGGGGGGGGGTTAATTGGAATTCTGATAACCTCACTCACATGACAAAACCCAACGCAAGCGGCTTCACGTCAGTCTTCTGTGATGCCGTGATATCACTCCGGTCGAGCTGGCCCATTCATGCCGAACCTGGCCCCACACTTATAGAATTGGTTTTATTTCGTAAAGAGTTGGTTTATGAGATACCTACCTATATTTTATATTTTCATTTTGGCCTGCAATAATCTGACCTCTGATGAAATGAAACAAGGCTAGTTAGTTATTCATCTGAATAAGCCCCAAATAATGAGAAAACATCTTTGACTAAATCAAGACCCAAATCTGTAAGCACATACGCACAAATACCTACCCAGATTACTTTTTCATTTAAATAAACATGACTACTAACTCCTAACTAGATTCCTGAAATCAACAATTTTCAATAACTTTTATAAAAGAGTTCATATTGCGGCTGCAGCTTAATCTGATCGAATTAATTTCACAGTGTTCAAAGCAAGTGGAGCGCCAACCAATAAAAATGTAATTTCTACGCTATAATAGCTCCATCTATTGGTGCCCTCTGATAAGTTCAACATCTTTGAACGTAGGTAGGTAATTTTAAAACACTGTATTTATTAAAAATTATTTCAGAATGCGATTTTAATAACGATCAATTATCTGTCATAAGGATTTCTTTTACCGTGTTTTAAATTGTCAAAATGTAAGTAAGTTATTATGAACTGTCTCTAATTCTGGATGGTCGCGCCATCTATTCAGTGTTTATAAAATCAGTTACGTCTTGCGTAGGTTTTTACTGTTTTAATGCCTAGCGTCATCTGATCACGTTATTTACAATTGCTTCGACTAGATGACACTACTAGTACCATGTTCACAAATACAAATATCACATAATTCGGTTGATCAGTACCCACGTGTTATTTAGGTAATGGCCGTTGATTAATATTAGTTTGTATTGGGACAAATATTAACTCGTCGAGTACCGGTTTTATAGACACAATTAAAGAACAATAGGTCGCGGTCACCGGTGACCGCTTGGTGTTTGACAGTTTAATAAGTTCTACTACTCTAAATAACATTTTGTTAGCATCAAAGCATACCGATTTACTTGAAAATTAATAAAGTAATATACTAAAATTATACTCAACAGTGTGTAACTATGTACGTACATTCTATTAACATCTAGAATAATCTAGCTTCAACAAACATTGAATAATATTGTATTTTCTACCTAAGTAGTTCTTTGGCATATTTGAATATGAAATGCGTAGCGCTACGTCAGCGTTGCTACGCGCTACGGAGTGGAGCTACGAATGTGAGAGACCACAGACGTTAGCTTTAATATTCGTAGTATCGTAGCAGTATTCAAATTCGTAGCAATAATATATTGTTTACGAAAATGGTGAATGTTTGAAAAACTAGTGTTGTTATAGTAATTTTATCACTTAATCACTCTACTGCTAAGTTGGCGTGCAAGAATTTTGTGCAATTTTTCTTCTTTCCTCTGATCACCATTTTGCCAACACACGACACGACATATACGACTGACGCGACCGATACGACCGACACGACAAATACGACCGATACGACCAACACGACAAATACGACCGACACGACAGATACGACAAATACGACCGATACGACCAACACGACAGATACGACAAATACGACCGACACGACAAATACGACAAATACGACCGACACGACAAACACGACCGATACGACAGACACGACAAATACGACCCACACGACCGACACGACAGATATGACAAATACGACCGACACGACAAACACGACCGACACGACAGATACGACAAACACGACCAATTTTATTTATTTGTATAGATTATGTGGTGTGCCTCTTGATAGTTTTATTCTATTTGTATACTTCGAGCGACTTGATCATAATTATTTGATTTTAGAACACATTCAAATTCAATAGGGCCTTCCGTAGTTTTGCTCACCAGATTCCAGATGGCGCAAGTGCAAACCTCTCGTACTTCGTCCAATATCCCTATTGGAGTTTGGACTTGGGTTTGGTTTTTACAACACCATATTTTGACATTTGGTTTGATTGTCATGCCAGTCATACATATCTTATTGGTCGTGTCGGTCGTGTAAGTCGTGTTTGTCGTATCGAGCGTGTTTGTCGTGTCTGTCGTATATATCGTATTGGTCATGTAGGTAGTGTCGCTCGTTTTTGACCAATATTGTTGTGACGGTAACGTCGAAAGCTGCTGCTAATTCAGCCGTAGATTGTGTATCTTCAGCTTCCACAATCGGGTTTAATTCGTTATCGTCGACCAAAGACTTCGGACGACCGCGAAGTTCATTTCCAGAACGAAAACGAGCAAACCAAAAACAGGTGGTGCGTTGGTTTACTATTATATACCTTTACTATTATATATGGTAATCATATTCCATAATTACTCGAATTTTTAACGTATCCATGATGAAAAATATTAAAGGCAATGAAAATGTAACACTAATCAATAAACAAATGACTACATTTAGAAATATCCAATGTTTTTAAAATAAAATTAATTTCAAATTATACTGTTATTTCAGAAAAACAAAGACGAAATTGCGGGTACATACATCTAGTCTATTATACTTTAATATTATTTGGTGTTAATTGTATTGATAGTGGGTTTATGGGTTAACGACCTTTAATATTCAACCTTACCGTACTTATTTATTATCTTTGTGATCCCTCACAGGGGAATAACAGATTGTCCCTTTGACAAGGGTTTTGTCAGAGCTGCGGGAAATTGATTTAATGTTCGGATACCTTTGTTAAAATATTAATAGATAGTTATAAGTAGTTGTTTATAGAGGTTGATGAAGGTTAATTTGTATTGCAGTAAAAGTAAAGTAGTATAAAAAGTGGTTTAAATATAAATAACTAGCTTCTGCCCGCGACGTCGTACGCGCAGTCCCGTTCTTTCCCGTTCCCGTTCGCGATTTTCGGTAAAAGTAAAAAAAAAATGAAAAAGTATCCTATGTCCATCTCCTGGTTCTAATCTACCACCCCACCAACTGTCATCCAAATCGATGCAGCCGTTCTTGAGTTATAAATAGTGTAACTAACACGACTTTCCTTTATTTATATAGATAATAAAATTTATTTTCAAACATAATAGTCTACCTCTAGAAATGTACAGTTTTGCTTAAAGCTATTATATAACTTAATAAAGATTAATTTGTCTTGCAGCAAACGTAAAATAAGTGTTAAAAATGAAAATGTATGGCAGATATATGTCGTGGAGAACCTAACGGGTAACCGCGGCTCCGGTTCGACGTGCAGGAGAAGGAACGGGGTGGTTTTTAGTCAGTGAGTCTGACACTTCCTCCCGGCTCACTCAGGCGGGAGCAGTCATTCGATGATTTTCCCACCTTAAAAAAA